GCAGTTCCACTCTGTCCTCTAGGGGCGCTGTGGCTCAGAATGGACTCCACAGCAGTGGGTGTGGTTTGGGCTTTGCTTCCATGAAGACTGACAGCCTTGGAGACCCTGTGGGCAGTTCCACTCTGTCCTCTAGGGTTGCTGTGGGTCAGAGTCGACTTGATGGTAGTGAGTTCAGCAATTTTTCTTTTTTAGCGTCCTGAGTTGTAACCTGAAAGTAGACACTTAGGAAAATTTATTTAGAGCAAAGCTAAATTAAACAGTTTTCAGAAAATTTTACCTTATGTGGTATAGAAAAATCTAGTCAAATAATCTAGTTATACTGCAGAGAATTCTGACAAAAAAGGGCAGAAATATGATGTGTGCAATGAGAAGCCCTGGTGGTGCAGTGGTCTAGCACTCTGCTGACAACTGAAGGCTCAACCCACCAGCCTCTCCACAGAAGGCAGTTGAGGCAGTCAACTTGCATAAAGATTAAAAAACAAAAAACAAAACAACCCAACACACTGCCACCAAGGAGCTCTGGTGGCACAGTGCCTAAGGCACTTGACTGCTAACCAGAAGGCTGGAGGTTCAAACCCACCAGCCACTCCTCAGAAGGAAGGTTGGGCAATCCACTTCCATAGATTTATCGTCTTGGAAACCTAAAGGGAGATTGTTGTGAGTTGGAATTGATTCGATGGCAGTGAGTTTGGTTTTGGGTTTGGGGCACTGCCATCAAGTCAATTCCAACTCAAAGTGACCCCCACTGGGTGTCCACGGCGGTAAATCTTTATGGAAGTACACACTGCCCCATCTTTGTTCTGCAGAGCGCTTGGTGGGCCTGAACCTCTGACCTTCTGGTTAGCAGCCAAATACCTTATCCACTATGCAACCAGAGCTCTTTTCGATAACGACTGACAGCCCGGGAAACCTTACGGGGCAGTTCTACTCTGTCCTCTCGGGGCGCTGTGACCAGAACTGACTCCGCGGCAGTGGGTGTGGTTTTGGTTTGTTTGTATAATATAAAAACAAATGGTTTCCACTATGAAACAATTTTTTCAAGAACCCATGTCTGATTTAGGGAGTTTAAAATGTTTTATTTTCTTTTAGTTTTCCCTAACCTTCTGGATAAACTGGAGCCTGACTATGAGGGGACATTGTCTCAGGTTCTGAAAGCGTTTTTCCCTGTTCAAGCTGTGGAAGAGGGGACATGACGTCACTTGGGGCTGTGCGAGTGGGGAAGCCGCGGGGGGAAGGCCGCGCCTCATGTTGTATCTCTCTGCCAGGGACAGACACCACGCCCCGAGCCGTCAGTCTGGGACTATTCTGTCGCTGTCAGATCCCAGCTGATGGATGTGGCTCTGGTCAGAGGGCCGCAGCAGAGGGAGGTCCCTCCTGGGACCACCGTCGTCCCCTCACCCCCATGCCCCTTGATCCCTCAGCTGCCAAGTATGTTCCCCGATGGACTCACTGTGGGATCAAGAATATGCTGTACACGTGCTGAGATTCTGTACAGACCAGACACTGGGAACACAGCGAGAGGGGCCTGCAATTCACAGATTCCATCTCATTTTTATCAGCAGTCATTTCAATATTCCTGCTCCTCGCTATCTCATCACCCCACAGACCACACTCACAATAGTTACAAATCTCTATGACAATTTTATGCATTGATGATGTATGTCTGTCAGTAACGAATGCCGAGGAATGCTGGGTGTGATGGTTAAAGTCATGTGTCAGCTTGCCTGGGCCATGATTCTCACTGGTTTGGCAGTTGTTCTGTATTGATGTCATTTGGTAGTTCTACAGTGATGTCATTTGGCAGTTCTGTATGATGTCCTCCAGCAGTTCTGTAGTGATGACATTCGGCAGTTCTGTAATGATGTCATTTGGCAGTTCTGTATGATGTCATCCAGCAGTTCTGTAGTGACATCATTTGGCAGTTCTGTATGATGTCCTTCGGCAGTTCTGTAGTGATGACATTCGGCAGTTCTGTAATGATGTCATTTGGCAGTTCTGTATGATGTCATCCAGCAGTTCTGCAGTGACATCATTTGGCGGTTCTGTATGATGTCATTCAGCAGTTCTGTAGGATGTCCTTTGGCAGTTCTGTAGTGATGACATTTGGCAGTTCTGTAATGATGTCATTCGGCAGTTCTGTATGATGTCATTCGGTAGTTCTGTAATGATGTAGTCATCCTCCATTTTTGCGTAACACTAGTTTTTGCATAGCGACCTGGTTTTGGAACCCAACTATGTTGGCAAGTGAGGAGTGCGTGCATTTTCAAAGTGGATGATGGAGAAGTGTTGGCTGCTGGTCTCCGTGCAGAGTTCACTAGCAGGTCTTCAGTGAGATGGACCAAAGTCCAGGCTCCTCAGGGCACTCGTTTCAAAGCTCCTTTGTGGGCCTCCTCCCGCGCACAGCATTGGTCCTTCTGAGACCCTAACAGAGCTGCCCTGTCACTGTGGCTTTCCTGGGTGTGGAAGGCTCGGTGACAGGGCACTCAGAGTCACCCATGACCTTTCTGCAAGGAAGCAAGATGCTATCACCACAGAAGAGATTTCCGTTCACGTTCACAGTTACAAAAGAATGGGATGGACTTTCTACTGAAAATCCCAGAAAAGCGGTTCAGTCCAGGGGTGCAGGAGTTCCAGGACTGCTGTGACGTGCAGATGAACAGGACTGTGTCTCACTGACGTGGGCAAGGGCAGCCGAGAGCAGCAGGGCCCGTGAGGAGGCCCCGTCCGGGTTCCGTGTCATGTCAGATTCACCCGTGACGAGGTTCCGTGTCACTGGCACACGTGGGGGAGTGGCCAAGATAGGACACCGATACCAACCGTGCCTGGGTCCACCCTTTCCACAGGTCACCAGGGGCCCTGCATCCCAACATGCCATGGGTCGGACATGTCAGATTCACCCGCAACAAGGTTCCATGTCAGGACACGCCGGCTGCATGCTCAAGGATGGAGGGGAGATGAGTACATCCCTGTGTTCTCAGTCACCCCAAGTCCTGCTGGCCCTGCCTCCCTTCTCTGAGCGCTGGGGACAGGCACGTCGGGTCCTGTAAGTCCCGAACCTGGACCTCAATCGTATGAATCACTGTCCCAGTGCCACCTGCGGAAAGCAAGCCTACAGTCCATCCACCTGGCTTCCCCAGGATCGGGGTGGTCTTGGTGCCCGGATCTGAAGCTCAGGAATGGGACCGTGTGAGTCACCCCGCTTTTCTGTGCTGCCTCCCACCCAGGCCCAAGGCCTTCCTTGCAGGCCAGCCTCAGAAGGCGGGCGAGAGGCCGAGCCAGGGTGCCGAGCACCCCCTTCTTGGCCCCGCACCCCGTGAAGTCTCCTCACGTTGGGCTGAGCGAGTGGGAGGGCTGAGGGTCTGCTGCTGAGGTCTGGGAGAGGGCTGTCCATCACCCATTTACCCTGTGGCCTCAGAGGGCCCAGGGAGGTCAGTGTCAGGACACATGACCCTGACCACAGAGACGGCTTCACCTTCACTAAACCCAGAGGGCGTCTGTGGGAAACGGCGGCCCTGTCCCAACGCCTGACCCCCTTCCTGTGGATACTGCACCACAGTGTCAGCTCACACATCAGATACCCAAGGGGAGCGTGTTCATCTTTGACTTATCGCACGATGGTGCCCCATGACAATGACCGGTCACCTCACTGATGACAACTGGGGGGGTCTAAGCGCTCAGGAGAGCACGGTCACCGCTGGCCTGGACTCACCGAGGCGCCCCAACACCCAGCAGTCGCTTTCACTGGCTGAATGCTCTCTCCCAGCTCCTGATGGGAACCGCTCAGTGAGGCCCCTTCAAGTGGCGCCCAGGGTGTGCCCTTCCCGCCAGGCCCTATATCCGCCCCTGACAAAGCCATCGGAAAGCCTCTTTGCTCCGAGAAGGGAGACAAACTTGTCTACACAGATGGATGTGAACACATGAGAAGGCGAGTCCCTGGGTGGTCCTTCCTCTGGACGCTACAGCGGTGAATGGCGGCCGCAGGGCTGGGCACGGAGAGCGAGCAGGGACTGGGCAGA